TCAGCCATGTTAGCAACATCTTTCAATCTTTAGCAACAACACTGTCTCATGAAAATGTTAATTTGTCCAATACTTTGTGACCAAACCCTTGGAATGCTAATATCATTCTCTGGGCTTCAGGGGTACTTTATGTTTATTGTTAACTAGCAAATGAATAAAATTAGCACAAAACGTCATCTACAGCAGCAGCTGCTAACATCCTGTTGACTTAACGTCCTGTTTACTCAATGGCCATATACATATATATATATACAGTATATATGGCCATATATATGACATGAGTGCTCCCAAAAGTGAAGCCATTCAAACCCTTCATGGTGCCTCTCAGAGTCAGAGCCTGGGATCAATGCTGCCTCCCTAATAACATTCACCGTCTCCCTGTCTGCCTCTGTCCCATGTGACATGCACTACAGTAAAAAGTCAAACTACACAATAATAAACTTTCCTTCAAGATGGTTTCTGTCGCTGTAATTCTGATTCTGATAAATCCGACGTTGATGTATGTTCAAGTGTTCCTGTTCGGTTTAAGTTAATTATTTGAAGATATAAAAACAATGTCATACGTCATGAATGGCAGCTTAGACCTTGCTACCTCGGCTCATCCCCTGAGCGCTATTTGGCACATTGGCTCCGGGTGCACAAGATGGCAGTTATCTTATCCAGGATATTTTGGCTTAAGCTCTGGATAATGGGAGGAAGTCGAGACTTTTTTAATGTACAGTCTACTGTGGAGAGACACATTCATCTTTGTATACATGTCAGTGATAGTGACTTCATCAGATTCCGTTTATCTTGAACTGGGTTGTGACAACTCTGTCTCTCTTACTTTCACTTTATCTCAGAAGTGTCTCTGTTTGTCATCCTTTGACCTCTGTCAGCAAGTAGAGTGACAATATCTCACTTTATCCTAACTTGAATCAATTAAATTGGTTTGTGGAGCACATCACTTGTTTCACTTTCTAAGGCATTGTTATACGACCAATTTCAACATCTGCCGTGGGTATTGCACGGCCAGCAGAGTGATCAACAGTTTGAGCATGTGTAGGAGTGGGTGTGTATACAAGCAGCAGATAAGAGGAGCATAGAACTGATAGCATCAAACTTCAACTTTAACAGCCCTTACTGGACTTTAAATAATAATATAAATTGGGTTTTTTTCTGGATTTCTTTGTCTATGTAGTTTGTCAAAAGGATTTTTTCTTGCCTCCGCACTTATTAAACAAGATGTCATTATTATATAACTGTGACTTTGGCTGCAACCAAAACATTGAAGCAGCTCATGTATCAGTGGTCTGCAAAACTGCAAATGTATTATTTATATTTATTTATTTTTAAAATGAAGAACACATAAGTGTCACTGTGCTTAATTTGCATCATGCTTCTGGTAAACAGAATACTGATTCTATCTACAGGCACAGGAAACTCCTACACACACATAGACAAATAGAGGGGAAAGTTGTGCACAAGTAAACATGTGCAATATTCACAAACACCCTTAAATAGCTTATATAACAGTTGTGTTTATAGTCTTTGCTGATAAATGTGCTATGTGTTTATTTGATGGAGGGGGCATCCTACACTAGGCAGACCCTGGGAAGATAACCAACGTGAACCATAATCCTTTGCAAGGTTCGCAGTGGAAAATCAGTCTCCTGGGGGTGAAAGGTGAAAGGTCAGGGATGTGAGCCCCACTTCCTCTCTGCTGGACAAGTAAAAAAAAATCTGAGAGACTTGTGGACTATATGACAGAGTCCACTCTAACATTAGTTCCCCATCAGTTCTCAGGACACTGCCATAGCTGCAGCTTGTGTGGGACGCTCTGAGGGGAGAGGGCCCCATATGTGGAGGGGACCCTTGAGAGAGGTGAGACAAGGCTGTACTTAGTGTCCAAGTTGCCTCTAACGCTGGACCTCAGCTTATAGCAACCAGATATAACAAGCTGTGAGAAGAACAGATTGCACAGATTTCCAGCGTTCACAGTCTCGCCCCTCTGTTCTATTTTGAACCGAGACAATATGTTCCATGTGGTTTTATTAACACTGTTGGTGGGTAGTGATTCAAGCACACTAAATTTTTACTGGAGGTTTTTTTTTTGCTAGAACATTTGGCACTGTTTTTCTAAAAAAAACTTTAAATACATTTAAAAAACAAACAAACCCACTTTCCCAATCTTCAACTGAAAGCAGCAGCACAAACTGTGGCTCTGATGCTGCAGAAGGCCTGGTTTCCATATGTGTGTTTTCCTCTTTGTACAACAGGAAGGACGACAAAAACATAACTGTTTAATTGATCTGATGTCGCCTTCCTGCCTTTTATTTTTTCTTATTCTACACATATGTGAGTCTAGAGGGGTCACGACTCTGGTCAGGCTCATGCTGTGTTTATGAGGTCAAGGGAGCTCTGGTTCCTCTGAGGAGCAGTTAAGAGGCTATAAAGACGTTAGCAGAGTGACCCTGTCCCTCGGCACAAACTGTATGTGCTCACAGAAATAAGAACGTGGAACCAAAAACAAACTTATTTAAGCTTCCAGCTATTGTTTCACTAAACCACAACTTCTCTTGGTATTAGAACTGACCATCTTTTTTTACTTTACTGAACAAGCAGTTCTTATTTAAATCAGTAAATTTCTGCCTTGGCTCAAATTTAAAAGGTGAACAGTAGACTGACCTGAGTCAATGCTGAAGGCTTAGTGAATCTGTGAATTCACACAGCAGTCCGTTTATATAAATACTAATGTCAGTACATGCTTGCAATGTTAACATGCTGATGGGTAGCAGATGTAGTGTTAACATTGTCCATCGGTGTGGTGCATTACCATGGTAACACTAGCTTTTTCCTTTTACATTATTTACAAAATCAAATTAAATCTTGATCAGACGGTGTTAAAATGAATTCTCACAATAAATGAAAAAATCAGGAGACCAACACAATCATGTGGATTCATCCTCTGGGAACCACAAATGTTTCTGTGGTGATACTACAGAAAAGAGGTTCGCCCAAGTCACTATATTACAACTAATATATACATACATATATATGTATGTACATATACACATTTGTACATATGTGTGTGACATAATCATGGCCTGGTACATTTATACATTCTTTCACTCCCACATATGTATATACTTTAGTGTGTATATGTGAGCACTTTACACTCATGAGTCTTGGACTGACAATATAAGCATGTGAAAGGAGAATATATGGATGAAAGGCCAACAGTATGTCCTATACAAAGTCAACAATATACTTTTTTCTATAATAAAAAAAGAGTATTGACAGTTATAGCACAGCTCACTACTATATTTTTAGAAGGATTTAAAGTTTCAGCTGTGATATGAGATAAAGACCTTCAAATATGAGTTGCATCATTTGTATCATTCCATATTCTT